CAAGCATTGCCTGCTCGATTTGTTAAGTTTTTTTGGGATTTTACTGAAATACTTTTAAAGATGTTTAAAGTTTTCTAATTGATTATCGTTTTTTTGTCATTTTAATCGCTTTTTCTTTATTCTTTTGTCATTTTTAAGCTCTTTTTGATTATTTCTTTGTCATTTTATCATTTTTAACCTCTTTTTCTTTATTCTTTTGTCATTTTGTCATTTATTTTATCTAATTTTATCTATTCTTTTGGAATTTCATTATAAAAATTCAAAGATTTTGATTTTTTCGAAACTTTTCTTCAAAAAAATCGCTTAATTTCATGAAAACTTGTAAAATAAATGAATAAATATAAGAATTTAACAAAAAAAATAGCAATTTAATATAAGTTTTTAGAAAAATGATCAAGAATTGAATAAAATTCGTTTCAGAATAGGATTCGTTCCTAGGTGTAAACGGATATGGACTAGAATTTGGGTTAAGTTAAAGAGAGTGGACTCCTATTGATTGAGAGTCCACTCTCCTATTGATCCTGCCATCTCTAACACTCCGACAAACCCCGACTCAACTCCTCCAACGTATTAGAAGGGAGTCCCTGTGAAATGACCGACCCAAACTGCAGTTGAATATCCGAAAGATATATATCTTTATTTACAGTTGTACGATAAGACGAATAGATTACAAATGAGTGAAAGGGAAAGGGGGGACTCCAAGTGAGGGCCTCACTTGTCCTCCTAGGCAATCCCAAGAACCGCTCTTTCTCGGCGATGAAAGGGATAAGCACAGCCAAATTTACGAATCTTCACAAAACTTGCATTTTAAGCGAAACTATTAAGTGTATCTTTTTGGAAATTTGGCTATAAGCCTAATTTTTGATTCTCTACAACTTTTCTATTGACACCAAAATGGGTTTCTTTTGAAGAAAGTGCTCAAACTGTCACATATGACAATAGCCGGCGGTTTTTCGATTCACCAACCCAATAGATTTGATCTTAAAGGTTACTGGTATTGAATTGATTGATTAATTCGCTCTAACAGTATCCATTCATAGCTCTTGATAAATGATACTGTATCCTTTTGGAAATTTGGATCTAAGCTTAATTTTTGATTCTCTACAACTTTTCTATTGACACAAAAATGGGTTTCTTTTGAAGAAAGTGCTCAAACTGGGCTGACAGCTGACATCTCCAGTCCTCCATTTTTGAGTCTCACACTTGTCTCACACACAAACCAAAATCCTACTGCGAAAGAGGAATTGCCTGAAAATGGACAGAAGTCGTCAATAATAATGGAAATTATTTGGAATGAATTGATGGCCTGAATCAAATTTTAGTTCCAAGTCCCGCAGTTTTCAATTCACCAACCCAATAATTCTAATCACTTCTAATCTCTTCTAATCAACTATCTAATCATTCGAATTCTGGGTTCTTTTCCAATATCGGGGGAGCGGTCCGATTATCGGGGGAGCGGAAGGAAAATCGGGGGAGCAAATTTTGCCCCCTCGAAAAATGCATTTCTGGGACTTTTATTTTAACTGCAACGTTTTTTTTTAAACTTTAACGACGATGCGCTTCTCCGATATTTGTGCGTTCAAGGAATCGACGGCAATCGATTATTTCGTCACCAAAGGAGTCATCCAGTCGTGGATTTGCAACTGTGGCGAATCGATGAAAGTCCGCTCAAAGGGAAAAGATCTATTTCGCTGGGTATGTGACACTTGCGCACGGCGAAATGTTCCCAAGTGTTAGATATTTAAGTCACTTTTGTGATCTAATATAAAGGTTGTGAGAATAACGGGTAATTCGCGGATTTTATGGCAGTACTTTGGATAATATAGGACATATGTAGCGCTGCCAAAAAATTTTAAAAAAAAACGTTGCAGTTAAAATAAAAGTCCCAGAAATGCATTTTTCGAGGGGGCAAAATTTGCTCCCCCGATTTTCCTTCCGCTCCCCCGATAATCGGACCGCTCCCCCGATATTGGAAAAGAACCGAATTCTGATCTAAAACTTTCATAAAACTTCACAAAACTTTGTTTTTGTCTAAAATGCAAATTTGTTTCAAAGTTATGGCAAAAATTGTTGATTCAATCGGGTTTAATTTAATTTTAATCGATTTCCCACAAATCCCCAGTTTAAAAGCAATTTTGACTTCTTAATTTATAAAAAAACAAAATTTATATAAAAATAGTCAATTCTCAAACTTGTTTCGTCAAATTAGATATGTTTTTTTTTTCGATATTAAACTCTTTCAAAATCATTTACAGCTAATTTCTGAATCAAAATCTTTTTCTCATAAGTAGAAAGAGAAAAATTGGGTAAATAAACCCACCAAAAACCCGAAAAACCCGAAAAACCCCAAATGTTTACTCAAATCTCTGTTTTCTTCGCTCAATTCTTTCCCTTTTCTCTTTTTTCCTTGACAAATTCACATACAAATCAACAGGTTGCTCACTAGTTTTGAGAAATTTTGAAATTCTCATTCTTTGACCTTAAATTTTTGTACTTAAAGTCAATGATAAAAGCAAAATTCGATCTTTAAGTGTACTTTGAGTGTAAAAATTGTAAATACAACTTCCCTGATGCACTCAATTTCTAAGAGTAAGCCATCTTTGGCACACAGCTAACACAAAAAACACAGCTAACCAATTTTTTACTCCATAGCTTTTTCTTGTTTATGCGATTTTCTGTAAAAATGATCACTAAGGGTAACGAATTGTGAAAAGAAATCTTAAAAAGCTTTGTTTTTGTTTTCAAATTTCAAAATTCAACTACAAAAACAAGTAAAAGTGAAAGTAAGGGCAAAAGTAAAAGTAAAATTCCCGCAGTTTGAGTACGGGTTGGCAACTTGCCAAGCCTAAATTCTAAAATACACCTAACTACCGTAGTCGAGACGGCGTCTCATTTTTCCTTTTAAAATTCATTCTTTCAAAAAAATTTGGCGATTTGGCGCTTCGCTGTCTCTTTTGCGCGTATTGTTCCTATTCTTTATCCTTATAAATTTCTGTTTATTGTTAAACTTTCCGTTCTTCTTTTATTTTTAAACTTTCCGTTCTTCTTTTATTGTTTTCACCTTTTTCCCTGTTTCTTTCTTTTAAAATTGTTAAAGTTTAGATTTTAGAGTTTCTATACTTTCTATCCTTTCTATCCTTTCTATCCTTTCTATCCTTTCTATCCTTTCTATCCTTTCTATTCTTGCTAGTCTTGCTATCCTTTCTATCTTTTCCCTTTCTATACTTTCTGTCGTTTCTATGCTTTCTATCGTTTCTATACTTTCTATCGTTTCTATACTTTCTATCGTTTCTATACTTTCTATACTTTCTATACTTTCTGTACTTTCTGTACTTTCTATCCTTTCTATACTTACTATACTTACTATACTTACTATACTTTCTATACTTTCTATACTTTCTATACTTTTCTCGGTCTTTTCGCTTTGTTGATTGGTGCTATGGGAGTTTAGGGGCATTGAAAATTTGAATAATTTCATCAAGTCCCATTTAATGATTGTTGTTGATCTCTGTTGATTGTCATGCGACTTTTACTATTCATTTTAACAAATTAGGTTTTTATTTACTTTACTTTCTTTATTTAGTTATGGCGGGTGTCGCTGCAGCAAATAGATTAGAGCTGAAATCGTTTAACCTATTGAAAGAATGGCCCAAAATTGCCGGAAAAGCTGATGTTGACTTTGACGGGTGGCTAGAAGATCGGGGATTGCTATGGAAAGTGCGCAACTGCCTCAATTGTAGCTACTTTGGAACACGTGATGCAAAAATATGTTCTTCCCGATTCTACGATACACAGATTTGTTGATCTGACTACAGCAACTTGGCAAATTTGGATTATGTTCACCGGACGTTCAATCATAGGCAAAACTTTGTCAATCCTATAAATGGTGTTCATGCCTAGTAAATAGAGTCCCTTTGGAGCAAATCAAGAGAAGAATTAGAATGAGAAATGGACTTAACGTATTTGGATGACCATTTTCTTGAGGTCTTGAGGCAGTGGCAAAGCTCTTCTGGATAGAAGTCGTTGCAAAATACCCACTCTTCTAAAGCCAGTCAATCCAGTTCAGCCGCGAATTTGTCTTGTTATTCCTCTCGTTTTGGAAAATCATTTGAAATTAGTGTTTCTGGGTTAAAAGATTTAGCAGTTTGGGTAAAATTTCGATCTAGAATTTGGATGTTTGGAGCCGTAATATGTTAGTAATATTTTTTTTCAACTTGCTCTTTTAAAAAATGAGAAAATAATATTTTATTTAGCGTAGAACTCACTTTTTGTGTAAGGACAGCATTTTTAATGTGAAATTTGATTCTTTCAGAACCCGGAATTTTCTTACCCACTTTTTGAAAACCCAAATGCGTCACATCCAAATTTAGGTCACTTTAAACTTTTCCATTTGAATTTGTCCTCAATTGCTATTTTGTAAAATATACGGTTCCAATACGGTTCTTTTTTTGATCTAATACGGTTCCAATACGGTTCTTTTTTTGATCTAATACGGTTCCAATACGGTTCTTTTTTTGATCTAATACGGTTCCAATTGATATAAAATATACAATTGATTCGCTAAGACGTGCACAGCGCTGTAGATTTTGCCTTAAAAGGGTGTTTTTTTGGTTTATAGATTTTAACAAGCCAATTTTTTGCACTTATTCTTTACTTTTTTTTTCCCTGACGTTTTCACCTAATTTTATGTAGTCAAAAGTCAATAGCCCGCACTAAAAGACAAATAAACAATCTCTCGGCTTTCAGAAAAATATTTTCAGGTTGAAAGAGAAAATTTTGCGTTTTTCTTTGAAAGCACAACAATTTTATCCTAATACTGACAACAACATAACAATTTTTTACTTAATAGCTTTAGCGATGTTTTAAAAACTAAGAAAATAACTTTATTTGTACGTAAAATAGCTTTTTTGCTCATTAATCTTTCTACCTTCTTTTTTCTAAAAGTCAAACTGATTTTGAATCTTTTATTTAATTAAATTGATTATGATATTTTTAGAGAAATGGAGAGCTACGATAAAGAGAGAAATATCTCTACGATCAAGATTGAACCCGGATTGCCAATGCCCGCTGCACCACCGGGAGCTCGTGAGTCGTTGAAATCTTTAGCTTATTGCCTATTTTCTAAAACGTGTTCCCTTTCTCTCTACCGTAATTTTGTCTCTATTTTTATTCAATCTACCGTGTTCTCTCTAATAGTAGTGCACCCTGAGCGTCGCCTAAATTCTCCGAAGTCTCGAGAACCGCTTATCAGAACCTATCGATGTGGGGTCGGAAAATGTAACTGACGATGAGATCTAGTGGGGGATTTGAGTGTTGAGCTTTTGTGAAAGCTTGAAAACTGTAAAATCGTCACCAACTCGGCTCGCTGGGACGCACTACTATTAGAGAAAATACGCTATCTACTTTTTGTTTGATTCTGTGAGCGTTCACAAAGGATATCGAAAGATATAAAAAGTGAATAGATTAGAGAAAAAGAGAGACAGGATTAAAATAAAAAGAAAAAGGGGACACGTTTTAGAAGTCTAGCCATTAGCGTTTCAGCTGTCGGCTTTATGCCAACGATGGCCCCAATTGCTGGAGTGCCAATTGGACTCGAGTATCTCACGCAAATCGATCGTTTAATCATTCAACAGGTGATTTATCTTAGCCAGTTTAATGCCCTGTACTTTGTGCTTGATTTTACAAACGCATTCTTTTTATTAGACTCTTTCTTGCTTCAAAGATTCCCTTTTAGAAAGTGAGCCTTTTGGAAGCGGTCGCCGGTTGGGAGGTGAAAAATAAATACGCTATTTACAATTCTGTTGGACAACAGGTGAGAAAATGGCTTGTTTTTTTTTAGAAATTTCAGACATTCTGGTCTTTGATTGATGAAATGATAGGTCTACTACGCTTACGAGGAATCAGGATGCTGTATGAGACAATGTTGTGGAGGGCAAAGAGGATTCACTATACATATTGTCGATAATTTCAATCGAGTGAGTACAGAGAAGTTTTTTTGAATGCTAGATAAGTTTAAAATGCTGTAGCTGTAGTAATCTCGATAATTAGAACAGATTCAAGACAATTTGAAGTGAAACTCTTGTCTTCCCAGAAAGCCAGAAATTTCCTTCTCTTTCTTCCTTGTGTTTCCTATTTCTTGTTGGGGAAAGAAGGCGCTAATAGCTAATGATAGAGAGTCTGCCCGGTAAGCAGAAGATCGAGGGTTCAATTCCTCTTGGAAATTCTTTATCATTTACTTTTTTTACGTTATTGACAGTTTACTCTACCCATTTTTATTGCTAGACTCCTTTTTTATTCTTTTATTAGCTAAGTTTTAGGAAGTGATGCGTATCAGCCGTCCCTTCAAGTGCTGTACCTGGTGTTGCTTGGCGAATTTCCGTTGCTGTGGTTCTGAAGTGACTGTCGAGGCGCCAGTCGGGAATGTGGTTGGTAAAATTTACTTTATGGTAATCAAAAGGTGGGTTTAGAATCAATTAAAGATCTATTATCTATTCATTAATCCATTAAAAACTTATCTAAAGGCTGGTTACTGAAAAAGTGTCATCTGAGCTGAAGAAATCTCTTATTTATCAAAAATTTGGGAAGAATTTATGGCTTAGTTTTTAAGAAATCACCGTGCAGACTTTTTTTTTTCTTACGAATTTTCTTGTCAATCTAATAGTTAGCAGGACTGTAGGACTAGTTCCGTGCTAATAAAATTTACAAGTAGTTATATATCTCTTCAAGAAGTTATATATCTCTTGTATACCAAATCTGCTCGTGTCTGTAATATAGACTTAGCGGAATAATAATCAGTTCCGTTAAAGTACTCAAGGATTGGTGAGCCAAGTGGTGAGTTATTAGCGGTATTTACATCGAACCAAGATACCGGTACCGTAAAAAATCTAGATATCTAGATTTATCTATAGATTAATCTAGATATCCTTAGTTTGATTATTTACGGTACCGGTACTTATCAAGATCTTGGTTCAATATTAATACAGCTAATCAAAGAAATTAAGGAAATTGTTGCTGATCTTTTTAGGATAATTAGCGTTAAGCCAAATCTTTTTTAAAACTTCAAATTTCGGATCGGTGTTGTGCGGGAGCGTTTCGGGTGTTGTTCTTACAATATGGCGATTATGAACGCCGATGAGTCGCAAGAGATTTTGAGGTATCGGAACTAAAAGCTCGAACTAGAACTTTCTGTATTAATCCTTTATTTGCATATTATCGTAACCTTTCCAGGATCACCGGCCCGAACATGTGCAGCTTCAATTGGTGCTGTAATTGTTGTGCGGACAAGATTTTCGATGTAAAATTTCAAATTCTTTACGATTTAAGAATCTTTATTTACAGCTGGAGACGCCTGATCGCCAATTAGTTGGCACAATTCGAAAAAATGGAGTGGACCGGTGAAAGAGATGTTCACCGATGCAGATAATTTCATTGCTGAGTGTGAAATTTTTATCGTAGCTAGTTTTAGTCCCCATTCTTTGTGCCCGAATAAACGCTCAACCTCTAGCGCACTTGATTCCTGCTTTTTAGTGACATTAAAAGCAAGAGTGTGCCAGTGGGGAAACGTTTACTAGAGCACAAAGTATATAAAGCTTTTTTTTTGTCTTTAGTCCCAATTGATTTGGACGCAAAAGCAAAAGGAACACTGCTTGGCGCCACGTTCTTAATTGTAAGTTTAAATTTTGATAAAATTCAAATAGAATATTCGTTTTTTAAGCAAAAAACAAAAATTTCAGGACTTTCTCGCTTTTGAAAACAATCAAAATCAACAAAAAAGTTAATGAAATGAATAAAACTACTTTAAGCGTACTTTAAGCTAATCGAATTAATAAATGTAAATAAATTTGTTTTGTACAAGTTGAAAATGAATTGAAAGACAAGATATGATTGAAAAAGTACAGAGTACAAAAGTACATTAAAATTCACTCAATTACAGTAAAGAAAAGTTTTCTCCTTTGGTGAAGACTTTAAAATCAAAAAGAGAGTGAAAAACGTGGACAATTGGAAGATAAAAACTTCAAAACTTGTCATCTAAGCCAAAAAGAAATTGAATCTTTCAACTTATTTGCATTTTTATGCAAAAATTCAAAAAAGTAAACAACGTTGGTGGGCGAGCAGGCGATCTAAAAAGCCTGAAATGTCCTCTTTACAATCTATAAAAAGTTAGCAAAAATATAATCTCTGGACAAAGTTATAGGCTTTCAAAGTATGACGACTTGTTCAAAATCCGGGATTTTTTTTTTTAAATACCTGGAAAACTACTCAAGACTTGTGTGTTTCATAAAAAAATTCCTAAAACGTTCGATTTCTTTTAAATTGAGAAGTGAAAAGTAAAAGGGAGATATTTTGGTGGAATTTAGGATAAAAGGACTGGAAAAGTTAGGACTTGGAAAGGCAAATATTTAGAAGAGAAAAGAAAAATGAGGCTAAATTTTTATTTGATAACGAATGATAACGGGACAAAAAAGGGAATCTCTGATAAAAAAACTTCTCTTCTTTCGTTTATATTCTGCTTCAGTTTTCACAATGTTCACTTTTCATTTTTGCATCGACAATGCAGGTATTTTTCGAAAAATTTTGTTGCCACTTTTCAGCTCGGATTAAAAATATTTCAAAAAACAAAAAGTTTTTTCTTTCTCGAGGTTTGCTTAATAAAAAACAAAAAAAACTCAATAATTGCTTCTTTCTTTTGATTTTTCCGAGCAAAGATAAAGATTTTCTTGCTAAAATTTCAAAACAAAATTAAGAAATTAAAGTAAAATTTGAATCGTCAAAGATTTTGAAATGAAATTTTTTGTGAAATTTGACGAGTTTTAAATTGATGAGCAAAATTAGATTTAAATTTAAATTTAAACTTTAGAATACGCACGAATCCGTTCATTTCGATGCCACTTATTGGTGGGGAATTCTCGAGAATTTCGTTGCAACTCAAGGAAATCAAGGCGATGAATGGAAGCAGCAACGGTTTGTGAAAAGATCTGTGCTTTGTGCGGGAAAAAACGTGAACGCATCCTTTCTGGCATATTGAAATCATCGATTTAAAGGAAAAATGATAAACTGAATAGAGCATTTATCATTTGTTTTGAGTAAAAAGTCTACCAAAAGACTAGGATTTGATTAAGGAGAGTTTCAAAGCGCAAATTAAACCCAGTGAAAAGCTGGGCCCAGGAAAACATCTTGGTTTGGGTTTCAAAGCTGAAAATGAACCAGTGTTTTCAAATTTAGTACTGTAATCTAAATTTAATCAACAATTTGAATATAGAAAGTCAATTCCCTTGAGTAGATTCTCATTTGCAATTCAATAGTGATGGAATTAGATTCAAAACTTGATAGATTCTAGGTTCTCACAGAAGCTCAACACTCTAATCCCCCACTAGATCTCATCGTCAGCTACATTTTCCGACCCCACATCTATAGGTTCTGATAAGGTTCTGATAGGATCTCGAGATTTCGAGCAACTTAGGCGACGCTCACGGTGCACTACTATACTATTAGAGAAAATACGGTAGATCTTTGCGAACTTCTTTAATATTTCTTCTTCTATCTATCTAAAAACTGAAGCGAAGAAAATTGGCCGCCGCGAAAAATGCAAAAAATACACACACACTTTCACAGGAATTATTGACCAGGAGGCAGGGGGTACTTCTTGCCTATCCCTGCTGCTGTCAATGAGTCAGGGGGGGATAGTAATTTTCCCCCCTACGCCTCCCCTGTGCCACGGTGGAAGCCGGGGGGTCACTCGGCTAGGGTTTACCCCGGGAGCCGCGCCTTACCATGGTGTATCCTTCCAACCGACGCAAGCACGCCGCACCATGGGATTTTACCGAGTCTTTTTCTGACTCAGGCCGGGACTCAGCCCTGCCATGATGCTGAACAAGAATTTGTGCTTTATATCGCCCCCATAGCACGTCGGCTGCCAGAAAGGGGTCGAGTAGGAGGACCGGCTGAGAACCCACAATTTGTGCAGTGCACAATTTGGAAAGCTTTTGGAGAATTTCCAGCTCTTTTTTTAAGTCTTTCCGTTCACTTACAACCAAAATAGAGACTATTCTTCGTGGTTTTTCTTTTCAAAAACCTCTACAATGAAATTGGGTGAATGAATTTCTCTGAAAATTTCCCTATATACTAAACTTTTTATGCTCTATCTTTTATCTATTGACAGCAACAGAGGTTTCCCTTAGCGAAAAGTGTCGAAAAGCGTAATGAAAGTTGCTTAACTAATCGAGATTTCTGCAATAAAACTTACCCCACCCAACCCGTCGGGGAGAAGGGTGGGTAGTCAAAAAGTATAGAAGCTCAGTCAACTTATGATTGGTTTTATTAGAATCTCCATTAAATTTGGCTCTAGTACTGACCAAATCAAATGGTTTTTCTTATTTTTCTTTTTCTTATTTTTCTCTTAAAAAGGAAGTTAAAGTGATTCTAGAGATGATAAATAAACGAAATATAAGCGAAAAACTGTGTGGCGATGATAAGCGGTCATCCTGTTCCAAGTTTCAACGTTTTAAATCACGATTTTCAGCCCAGAACATCAATTGGAATGGATTCAATATCTCGCGAACGATTTGCTCACTTTGAAACAACAAGTTGAACGTTGGCTTTTGATTGGCTTTGATTCAATTTGACGGCTTTCAAACAACAGCTTTCACGAATACTTAAAAACAAGAATACTTTAGTTAAATCCGTTTCATTCAAAGTTTTTCCAAGAAACTGTTACCTTGAATTTCGCAATTCTCACTCAAAAAAAGGCTCTAAATTCACGAAAAGTTAGAGCTAAAATAAGCATTTTATCAACGAAAGATTAGTAAAAGGCTAAGCAAAGTTCAAGTCTAACTTTTGCTATTCATTTATATGATTCTCAATAGGTTTACAACAGAAAAGCGACTTGTGCTCACTTCAATAGCTATTTTTTTCGCATTAGAGATAGAATCTTCAAAGCTCTATCTTTTGGTTTGAAAAAATCTGTTTTTGAAGTGGCTAAATCTTGTTTTTTTCATTGTATACCTATTGATAATCATTTAAATGAATAGCAAAAGTTAGACTTGAAATTTGCTTGCTGCTTTGCTTAACCTTTTGCTAATCTTTCGTTGATAAAATGCTTTCCTCAGCTTTTGATTATGCGATTCGTTTAAGTGTTTATTGATTACAATAATCATTACATTAATCTTCTCTATCTTTTAGAACGTCAAAACTTGGCTCGTCTCTATTTTGTGCCAACTTTCGTCAATCATTCACTAGATTTCGATATTCATTGGCCAGAGGAGAAACAACAGAGAGACGATGCATATCTTGTATATAAAAGGTCAGTGATTCGTCAATGATTCTAGTTTTCTTTAAAGCAATTCTAGCTAGTACTAATCTCTAAATTTATTTGTCGTTTTTTCACTAATAGTAGCGCATCTTAAGCTTTGCCTAAATCCCTCGAAATCTCGAGAACAGCTTATCAGAACCTATCGATGTGGGGTCGGAAATATAGCTGACGATGAGATCTAGTGGGGGATTTGAGTGTTGGGCTTCTGCAAAAGCTTGGAAACCGTAAAATCGACTCGACTCGGGGGGCGGGGGTGCACTAGAGAAATTATGGTATCGACTTTTTGTCTAATTCTGTGAGAAGAGCTTCTAGAAAAACGAAAAACAAATGAAAATCAAATTTTTTAGATATCCAATGCTTTTATTCGCTGTTGAATCAATTCAATGTGATCACGATAAAGGAATGGCTGAACAAGTACAAATGCAGGCGCTTTCCATCATTGCAGAGTAAGAACCAGTTAGACAGTAACGCATAAGGGTTTATCTTGACAAAGAAACACATGTTGATGTAGCTCATTGGTAAAGGCTTCGGAAGAAGTCGTTAAGCAAGAAGTCGTAGAGGTGACGAGTTCGCCGGCTTCCCGAGTTCCCAAAGCCGGCTTCCCAGCTCCAAAAAAGGACCAGCGCTTTTAATAGACGCATAGTTTGAACGTTTCACGCATAAATCAAACTTTAGATCTAAAGGCTGGTTACTGAAAAAGTGTCATCTGAGCTGAAGAAATCTCTTATTTATCAAAAATTTGGGAAGAATTTATGGCTTAGTTTTTAAGAAATCACCGTGCAGACTTTTTTTTTCTTACGAATTTTCTTGTCAATCTAATAGTTAGCAGGACTGTAGGACTAGTTCCGTGCTAATAAAATTTACAAGTAGTTATATATCTCTTCAAGAAGTTATATATCTCTTGTATACCAAATCTGCTCGTGTCTGTAATATAGACTTAGCGGAATAATAATCAGTTCCGTTAAAGTACTCAAGGATTGGTGAGCCAAGTGGTGAGTTATTAGCGGTATTAACATCGAACCAAGATCTTGGCAAGTACCGGTACCGTAAAAAATCTAGATATCTAGATTTATCTATAGATTAATCTAGATATCCTTAGTTTGATTATTTACGGTACCGGTACTTATCAAGATCTTGGTTCAATATTAATACAGCTAATCAAAGAAATTAAGGAAATTGTTGCTGATCTTTTTAGGATAATTAGCGTTAAGCCAAATCTTTTTTAAAACTTCAAATTTCGGATCGGTGTTGTGCGGGAGCGTTTCGGGTGTTGTTCTTACAATATGGCGATTATGAACGCCGATGAGTCGCAAGAGATTTTGAGGTATCGGAACTAAAAGCTCGAACTAGAACTTTCTGTATTAATCCTTTATTTGCATATTATCGTAACCTTTCCAGGATCACCGGCCCGAACATGTGCAGCTTCAATTGGTGCTGTAATTGTTGTGCGGACAAGATTTTCGATGTAAAATTTCAAATTCTTTACGATTTAAGAATCTTTATTTACAGCTGGAGACGCCTGATCGCCAATTAGTTGGCACAATTCGAAAAAAATGGAGTGGACCGGTGAAAGAGATGTTCACCGATGCAGATAATTTCATTGCTGAGTGTGAAATTTTTATCGTAGCTAGTTTTAGTCCCCATTCTTTGTGCCCGAATAAACGCTCAACCTCTAGCGCACTTGATTCCTGCTTTTTAGTGACATTAAAAGAAAAACGTGGACAATTGGAAGATAAAAACTTCAAAACTTGTCATCTAAGCCAAAAAGAAATTGAATCTTTCAACTTATTTGCATTTTTATGCAAAAATTCAAAAAAGTAAACAACGTTGGTGGGCGAGCAGGCGATCTAAAAAGCCTGAAATGTCCTCTTTACAATCTATAAAAAGTTAGCAAAAATATAATCTCTGGACAAAGTTATAGGCTTTCAAAGTATGACGACTTGTTCAAAATCCGGGATTTTTTTTTTAAATACCTGGAAAACTACTCAAGACTTGTGTGTTTCATAAAAAAATTCCTAAAACGTTCGATTTCTTTTAAATTGAGAAGTGAAAAGTAAAAGGGAGATATTTTGGTGGAATTTAGGATAAAAGGACTGGAAAAGTTAGGACTTGGAAAGGCAAATATTTAGAAGAGAAAAGAAAAATGAGGCTAAATTTTTATTTGATAACGAATGATAACGGGACAAAAAGGGAATCTCTGATAAAAAAACTTCTCTTCTTTCGTTTATATTCTGCTTCAGTTTTCACAATGTTCACTTTTCATTTTTGCATCGACAATGCAGGTATTTTTCGAAAAATTTTGTTGCCACTTTTCAGCTCGGATTAAAAATATTTCAAAAAAACAAAAAGTTTTTTCTTTCTCGAGGTTTGCTTAATAAAAAACAAAAAAAAACTCAATAATTGCTTCTTTCTTTTGATTTTTCCGAGCAAAGATAAAGATTTTCTTGCTAAAATTTCAAAACAAAATTAAGAAATTAAAGTAAAATTTGAATCGTCAAAGATTTTGAAATGAAATTTTTTGTGAAATTTGACGAGTTTTAAATTGATGAGCAAAATTAGATTTAAATTTAAATTTAAACTTTAGAATACGCACGAATCCGTTCATTTCGATGCCACTTATTGGTGGGGAATTCTCGAGAATTTCGTTGCAACTCAAGGAAATCAAGGCGATGAATGGAAGCAGCAACGGTTTGTGAAAAGATCTGTGCTTTGTGCGGGAAAAAACGTGAACGCATCCTTTCTGGCATATTGAAATCATCGATTTAAAGGAAAAATGATAAACTGAATAGAGCATTTATCATTTGTTTTGAGTAAAAAGTCTACCAAAAGACTAGGATTTGATTAAGGAGAGTTTCAAAGCGCAAATTAAACCCAGTGAAAAGCTGGGCCCAGGAAAACATCTTGGTTTGGGTTTCAAAGCTGAAAATGAACCAGTGTTTTCAAATTTAGTACTGTAATCTAAATTTAATCAACAATTTGAATATAGAAAGTCAATTCCCTTGAGTAGATTCTCATTTGCAATTCAATAGTGATGGAATTAGATTCAAAACTTGATAGATTCTAGGTTCTCACAGAAGCTCAACACTCTAATCCCCCACTAGATCTCATCGTCAGCTACATTTTCCGACCCCACATCTATAGGTTCTGATAAGGTTCTGATAGGATCTCGAGATTTCGAGCAACTTAGGCGACGCTCACGGTGCACTACTATACTATTAGAGAAAATACGGTAGATCTTTGCGAACTTCTTTAATATTTCTTCTTCTATCTATCTAAAAACTGAAGCGAAGAAAATTGGCCGCCGCGAAAAATGCAAAAAATACACACACACTTTCACAGGAATTATTGACCAGGAGGCAGGGGGTACTTCTTGCCTATCCCTGCTGCTGTCAATGAGTCAGGGGGGATAGTAATTTTCCCCCTACGCCTCCCCTGTGCCACGGTGGAAGCCGGGGGTCACTCGGCTAGGGTTTACCCCGGAGCCGCGCCTTACCATGGTGTATCCTTCCAACCGACGCAAGCACGCCGCACCATGGGATTTTACCGAGTCTTTTTCTGACTCAGGCCGGGACTCAGCCCTGCCATGATGCTGAACAAGAATTTGTGCTTTATATCGCCCCCATAGCACGTCGGCTGCCAGAAAGGGGTCGAGTAGGAGGACCGGCTGAGAACCCACAATTTGTGCAGTGCACAATTTGGAAAGCTTTTGGAGAATTTCCAGCTCTTTTTTTAAGTCTTTCCGTTCACTTACAACCAAAATAGAGACTATTCTTCGTGGTTTTTCTTTTCAAAAACCTCTACAATGAAATTGGGTGAATGAATTTCTCTGAAAATTTCCCTATATACTAAACTTTTTATGCTCTATCTTTTATCTATTGACAGCAACAGAGGTTTCCTTAGCGAAAAGTGTCGAAAAGCGTAATGAAAGTTGCTTAACTAATCGAGATTTCTGCAATAAAACTTACCCCACCCAACCCGTCGGGGAGAAGGGTGGGTAGTCAAAAAGTATAGAAGCTCAGTCAACTTATGATTGGTTTTATTAGAATCTCCATTAAATTTGGCTCTAGTACTGACCAAATCAAATGGTTTTTCTTATTTTTCTTTTTCTTATTTTTCTCTTAAAAAGGAAGTTAAAGTGATTCTAGAGATGATAAATAAACGAAATATAAGCGAAAAACTGTGTGGCGATGATAAGCGGTCATCCTGTTCCAAGTTTCAACGTTTTAAATCACGATTTTCAGCCCAGAACATCAATTGGAATGGATTCAATATCTCGCGAACGATTTGCTCACTTTGAAACAACAAGTTGAACGTTGGCTTTTGATTGGCTTTGATTCAATTTGACGGCTTTCAAACAACAGCTTTCACGAATACTTAAAAACAAGAATACTTTAGTTAAATCCGTTTCATTCAAAGTTTTTCCAAGAAACTGTTACCTTGAATTTCGCAATTCTCACTCAAAAAAAGGCTCTAAATTCACGAAAAGTTAGAGCTAAAATAAGCATTTTATCAACGAAAGATTAGTAAAAGGCTAAGCAAAGTTCAAGTCTAACTTTTGCTATTCATTTATATGATTCTCAATAGGTTTACAACAGAAAAGCGACTTGTGCTCACTTCAATAGCTATTTTTTTCGCATTAGAGATAGAATCTTCAAAGCTCTATCTTTTGGTTTGAAAAAATCTGTTTTTGAAGTGGCTAAATCTTGTTTTTTTCATTGTATACCTATTGATAATCATTTAAATGAATAGCAAAGTTAGACTTGAAATTTGCTTGCTGCTTTGCTTAACCTTTTGCTAATCTTTCGTTGATAAAATGCTTTCCTCAGCTTTTGATTATGCGATTCGTTTAAGTGTTTATTGATTACAATAATCATTACATTAATCTTCTCTATCTTTTAGAACGTCAAAACTTGGCTCGTCTCTATTTTGTGCCAACTTTCGTCAATCATTCACTAGATTTCGATATTCATTGGCCAGAGGAGAAACAACAGAGAGACGATGCATATCTTGTATATAAAAGGTCAGTGATTCGTCAATGATTCTAGTTTTCTTTAAAGCAATTCTAGCTAGTACTAATCTCTAAATTTATTTGTCGTTTTTTCACTAATAGTAGCGCATCTTAAGCTTTGCCTAAATCCCTCGAAATCTCGAGAACAGCTTATCAGAACCTATCGATGTGGGGTCGGAAATATAGCTGACGATGAGATCTAGTGGGGGATTTGAGTGTTGGGCTTCTGCAAAAGCTTGGAAACCGTAAAATCGACTCGACTCGGGGGCGGGGGTGCACTAGAGAAATTATGGTATCGACTTTTTGTCTAATTCTGTGAGAAGAGCTTCTAGAAAAACGAAAAACAAATGAAAATCAAATTTTTTAGATATCCAATGCTTTTATTCGCTGTTGAATCAATTCAATGTGATCACGATAAAGGAATGGCTGAACAAGTACAAATGCAGGCGCTTTCCATCATTGCAGAGTAAGAACCAGTTAGACAGTAACGCATAAGGGTTTATCTTGACAAAGAAACACATGTTGATGTAGCTCATTGGTAAAGGCTTCGGAAGAAGTCGTTAAGCAAGAAGTCGTAGAGGTGACGAGTTCGCCGGCTTCCCGAGTTCCCAAAGCCGGCTTCCCAGCTCCAAAAAAGGACCAGCGCTTTTAATAGACGCATAGTTTGAACGTTTCACGCATAAATCAAACTTTAGATCTAAAGGCTGGTTACTGAAAAAGTGTCATCTGAGCTGAAGAAATCTCTTATTTATCAAAAATTTGGGAAGAATTTATGGCTTAGTTTTTAAGAAATCACCGTGCAGACTTTTTTTTTCTTACGAATTTTCTTGTCAATCTAATAGTTAGCAGGACTGTAGGACTAGTTCCGTGCTAATAAAATTTACAAGTAGTTATATATCTCTTCAAGAAGTTATATATCTCTTGTATACCAAATCTGCTCGTGTCTGTAATATAGACTTAGCGGAATAATAATCAGTTCCGTTAAAGTACTCAAGGATTGGTGAGCCAAGTGGTGAGTTATTAGCGGTATTAAGCTTAAGGCTTAAGCTTAAGCTTAGGCTCAGGCTCAGGCTCAGAGGTTCCTAAAAGCACAAAGTCCAAAACTTTCACACTTTCACAAAGGCCAAAACTTTCATCCAAAGAAAAGTCAATTTTAAGATGAAAATGTGAATTCAATCGACGGATATCAAGAGCTCAGGCTTCGGTAAACAGTTTCCTTTTGAGCTGTGTAGCTCATATTGTACTGTAAATAAAGATATATATCTTCCGGATATTCAACTGCAGTTTGGGTCGGTCATTTCACAGGGACTCCCTTCTAATACGTTGGAGGAGTTGAGTCGGGGTTTGTCGGAGTGTTAGAGATGACAGAATATCAGAAGGAGTCCACTCTCTTTAACTTAATTCTAGTCCATATCTGTTTACTCCTAGGAACAAACAATTGAGAACACCAATTTAAACATCAAATTCTCTTGAGCTGGGACTCTTGTTCTCTTGAGTTGAATATCCGGAATTAGGCTCAGGCTTAGGCTTAGGCTCAGGCTTAGGCTTAAGCTTAAGCTTAGGCTCAGGCTCAGGCTCAGAGGTTCCTAAAAGCACAAAGTCCAAAACTTTCACACTTTCACAAAGGCCAAAACTTTCATCCAAAGAAAAGTCAATTTTAAGATGAAAATGTGAATTCAATCGACGGATATCAAGAGCTCAGAGCGCTTCTCTTTGCCGAAACTGGATTAAAGAAGAAAAAATCGACAAATCCAAGCATTGCCTGCTCGATTTGTTAAGTTTTTTTGGGATTTTACTGAAATACTTTTAAAGATGTTTAAAGTTTTCTAATTGATTATCGTTTTTTTGTCATTTTAATCGCTTTTTCTTTATTCTTTTGTCATTTTTAAGCTCTTTTTGATTATTTCTTTGTCATTTTATCATTTTTAACCTCTTTTTCTTTATTCTTTTGTCATTTTGTCATTTATTTTATCTAATTTTATCTATTCTTTTGGAATTTCATTATAAAAATTCAAAGATTTTGATTTTTTCGAAACTTTTCTTCAAAAAATCGCTTAATTTCATGAAAACTTGTAAAATAAATGAATAAATATAAGAATTTAACAAAAAAATAGCAATTTAATATAAGTTTTTAGAAAAATGATCAAGAATTGAATAAAATTCGTTTCAGAATAGGATTCGTTCCTAGGTGTAAACGGATATGGACTAGAATTTGGGTTAAGTTAAAGAGAGTGGACTCCTATTGATTGAGAGTCCACTCTCCTATTGATCCTGCCATCTCTAACACTCCGACAAACCCCGACTCAACTCCTCCAACGTATTAGAAGGGAGTCCCTGTGAAATGACCGACCCAAACTGCAGTTGAATATCCGAAAGATATATATCTTTATTTACAGTTGTACGATAAGACGAATAGATTACAAATGAGTGAAAGGGAAAGGGGGGACTCCAAGTGAGGGCCTCACTTGTCCTCCTAGGCAATCCCAAGAACCGCTCTTTCTCGGCGATGAAAGGGATAAGCACAGCCAAATTTACGAATCTTCACAAAACTTGCATTTTAAGCGAAACTATTAAGTGTATCTTTTTTGGAAATTTGGCTATAAGCCTAATTTTTGATTCTCTACAACTTTTCTATTGACACCAAAATGGGTTTCTTTTGAAGAAAGTGCTCAAACTGTCACATATGACAATAGCCGGCGGTTTTTCGATTCACCAACCCAATAGATTTGATCTTAAAGGTTACTGGTATTGAATTGATTGATTAATTCCGCTCTAACAGTATCCATTCATAGCTCTTGATAAATGATACTGTATCCTTTTGGAAATTTGGATCTAAGCTTAATTTTTGATTCTCTACAACTTTTCTATTGACACAAAAATGGGTTTCTTTTGAAGAAAGTGCTCAAACTGGGCTGACAGCTGACATCTCCAGTCCTCCATTTTTGAGTCTCACACTTGTCTCACACACAAACCAAAATCCTACTGCGAAAGAGGAATTGCCTGAAAATGGACAGAAGTCGTCAATAATAATGGAAATTATTTGGAATGAATTGATGGCCTGAATCAAATTTTAGTTCCAAGTCCCGCAGTTTTCAATTCACCAACCCAATAATTCTAATCACTTCTAATCTCTTCTAATCAACTATCTAATCATTCGAATTCTGGGTTCTTTTCCAATATCGGGGGAGCGGTCCGATTATCGGGGAGCGGAAGGAAAATCGGGGAGCAAATTTTGCCCCCTCGAAAAATGCATTTCTGGGACTTTTATTTTAACTGCAACGTTTTTTTTAAACTTTAACGACGATGCGCTTCTCCGATATTTGTGCGTTCAAGGAATCGACGGCAATCGATTATTTCGTCACCAAAGGAGTCATCCAGTCGTGGATTTGCAACTGTGGCGAATCGATGAAAGTCCGCTCAAAGGGAAAAGATCTATTTCGCTGGGTATGTGACACTTGCGCACGGCGAAATGTTCCCAAGTGTTAGATATTTAAGTCACTTTTGTGATCTAATATAAAGGTTGTGAGAATAACGGGTAATTCGCGGATTTTATGGCAGTACTTTGGATAATATAGGACATATGTAGCGCTGCCAAAAATTTTAAAAAAACGTTGCAGTTAAAATAAAAGTCCCAGAAATGCATTTTTCGAGGGGGCAAAATTTGCTCCCCCGATTTTCCTTCCGCTCCCCCGATAATCGGACCGCTCCCCGATATTGGAAAAGAACCGAATTCTGATCTAAAACTTTCATAAAACTTCACAAAACTTTGTTTTTGTCTAAAATGCAAATTTGTTTCAAAGTTATGGCAAAAATTGTTGATTCAATCGGGTTTAATTTAATTTTAATCGATTTCCCACAAATCCCCAGTTTAAAAGCAATTTTGACTTCTTAATTTATAAAAAAACAAAATTTATATAAAAATAGTCAATTCTCAAACTTGTTTCGTCAAATTAGATATGTTTTTTTTTTCGATATTAAACTCTTTCAAAATCATTTACAGCTAATTTCTGAATCAAAATCTTTTTCTCATAAGTAGAAAGAGAAAAATTGGGTAAATAAACCCACCAAAAACCCGAAAAACCCGAAAAACCCCAAATGTTTACTCAAATCTCTGTTTTCTTCGCTCAATTCTTTCCCTTTTCTCTTTTTTCCTTGACAAATTCACATACAAATCAACAGGTTGCTCACTAGTTTTGAGAAATTTTGAAATTCTCATTCTTTGACCTTAAATTTTTGTACTTAAAGTCAATGATAAAAGCAAAATTCGATCTTTAAGTGTACTTTGAGTGTAAAAATTGTAAATACAACTTCCCTGATGCACTCAATTTCTAAGAGTAAGCCATCTTTGGCACACAGCTAACACAAAAAAACACAGCTAACCAATTTTTTACTCCATAGCTTTTTCTTGTTTATGCGATTTTCTGTAAAAATGATCACTAAGGGTAACGAATTGTGAAAAGAAATCTTAAAAAGCTTTGTTTTTGTTTTCAAATTTCAAAATTCAACTACAAAAACAAGTAAAAGTGAAAGTAAGGGCAAAAGTAAAAGTAAAATTCCCGCAGTTTGAGTACGGGTTGGCAACTTGCCAAGCCTAAATTCTAAAATACACCTAACTACCGTAGTCGAGACGGCGTCTCATTTTTCCTTTTAAAATTCATTCTTTCAAAAAAATTATGATTTGGCGCTTCGCTGTCTCTTTTGCGCGTATTGTTCCTATTCTTTATCCTTATAAATTTCTGTTTATTGTTAAACTTTCCGTTCTTCTTTTATTTTTAAACTTTCCGTTCTTCTTTTATTGTTTTCACCTTTTTCCCTGTTTCTTTCTTTTAAAATTGTTAAAGTTTAGATTTTAGAGTTTCTATACTTTCTATCCTTTCTATCCTTTCTATCCTTTCTATCCTTTCTATCCTTTCTATCCTTTCTATTCTTGCTAGTCTTGCTATCCTTTCTATCTTTTCCCTTTCTATACTTTCTGTCGTTTCTATGCTTTCTATCGTTTCTATACTTTCTATCGTTTCTATACTTTCTATCGTTTCTATACTTTCTATACTTTCTATACTTTCTGTACTTTCTGTACTTTCTATCCTTTCTATACTTACTATACTTACTATACTTACTATACTTTCTATACTTTCTATACTTTCTATACTTTCTATACTTTTCTCGGTCTTTTCGCTTTGTTGATTGGTGCTATGGGAGTTTAGGGGCATTGAAAATTTGAATAATTTCATCAAGTCCCATTTAATGATTGTTGTTGATCTCTGTTGATTGTCATGCGACTTTTACTATTCATTTTAACAAATTAGGTTTTTATTTACTTTACTTTCTTTATTTAGTTATGGCGGGTGTCGCTGCAGCAAATAGATTAGAGCTGAAATCGTTTAACCTATTGAAAGAATGGCCCAAAATTGCCGGAAAAGCTGATGTTGACTTTGACGGGTGGCTAGAAGATCGGGGATTGCTATGG